GTTCAATTATTATCATTTATCAATTAATTATCATCATTCATATCAATATCAATATCATTATCGTTATCGAAAGCAAAGCACGGAAGGAGAAAATTAGGTTAGTTTAGGTCGGTACGGAGATCTCGAAAATACCGAGTGCTCGGTCTTATATTTCTTCTCTGAAGTATAATCAAACTGAAGTATGACGATTACCTATTAGATTTCTCAATAACGTAGGTGCACACGATGTTCTCAGCATTACCGTTGTATGTCCGCCTGATCGGAGCATCGCAATTTACGCCCGATCGTTCCGGACAATCCGGCCAAATGGAAGAACGCGCGCGACGCGAGCCGCGACTTGCGTACTTCTCGCTAATGGCCGCCGCTGTGTCGCGAGAGTCTAGCAGCCGCGTCTACTGTTGTCCTCCGAAGTCGCGTAACCTTTAACGCCAAAACAACTCGTACAGTTGTATATATATATATCTTCCGTTCTTACCCGAGATACCCCGAAACTATTTTGCAACACGCTAATAACGTGTTCTGAAATCAAATTAAGGCCAGTGGAAATGCTGATATAACGATATTGAAATCGCACACATTTTCGCGATCATTCTCATTACGCCTCGCTGCGTAAATTATAATTACTTTACACTCCTGTGCAAGCGATACACATTATTGTCGCCGGCCATACCTCGCATGTTCACGCGCTGATGATTATTTATCCTCCGACACAATAGAGGCTCGATATGTATGCGCGCATATTTTATATTTTATTTTATTGCGACGTAAAGACCATTTTACATACGCACGCGGATAGATTCGGCGATGCACTTGACATATCGCGTCATTAATAAACAGCGCGGTGCGCTTTTGTATTTTCGGCCGTTAATGCAAACCGCATATGACGCGGTTTAAAATTTCTGCATTTTATTGTCGTAACGTCGTCGCATTCATGCGTACGTTTGATACCGTTTATTTCCACGGACGTTTTAAATAGTCGGATGACCGTGTACGCTCTCTAATACGTCGATACAACAATACCGCGCCCGGTGCACGCTGTAACAAACGTATCGCAGCGTGTTTTCATGCACCGTGTTATTACCGCTCTTATTAGCTGATTAACGCAGCCCGTTCAATCTGCCCATGTACAATTGATTATAGAACATTCGACGCGTGATGCGGCCAGCCGCGCACACTTCGCTCTTCCTGTTCCCTGTCTGTGTACTCTGTCGCCGCAATTTATAAATTCACGAAGGGCCAAAGGAGGGACAGGAGCAGGTTACAAGGGGAAAATGCGAATGCATGACGGAGGGGAGTGGGGGGGGGGAGGGGAGAGGGCAACGCAACGGACGATTTCTAATCTGCCGGAGCGCGCGCTCTCTCGCGACCTCTATTATTCCCGCGATAATTTAAGACGAGCCTGATATATTACGTAGCGAGTTTACGCGACGCCATTGTCTCGAGCTGCCGTTATTTATGGGAAGGTCTCGTCTTTCCAAAAACGGAAGGCGCACGTTCGCGCTCGCGGACCCGGTGATGCGAATAACAATCGTGCTCCTTCGCTCGCGAGAGCGGTAATTAAGGATTAGCGAGGTGATTAGCGAACGCCGCCGCGGTATTTAAATCTCGCCGGTGCGATCTGCGAGCGCGCCGCTGCAGCGTCGCGGGTTCAGGCCAAACAACTGATTATACCAGCGGCCCAGCGTTGAAACTTGGAGAAGCAGACGTTCCAATTACTGCTCTTCTAATTACGCATCCGCTCCTCTCTAATACGTCGGCCAACTTCAAAACTGTGCGCCGCACAGTGATTAGTGATAAAGAGGAGCGCGCGTGCGCGTGTCTCTGCGAGTGAAAAACTTTCGCCTCGCTGAAACGGAGATATTCCGTCAGAGGCGATGAGCAGGAGATGCGAACGCGTTCGCTCGCATGCGCGCCTAATGACGCCAATTATAATGCGGTAATTAAAAGCGGCCGCGCGAAAGAAAGAACGACACGGAAGATTGCGCACGCGTTGCAATGACGACACGCGTTATTTCTCTTTGTCTCTTATTTCCCTTTTTCGTCTCTTTACCGTTCGCACGTTACGTCAATCTCGTGCTTATTGCGGCAATCAATACGCGTACATGCGCACCGTTATGTTCGACCGCGAGGAAGTCGTTCAGATACTTTTGTTAAAACGCGTTTTACGGCTGCAACGAGGAAATGACGCGCGATCGTACGATTTAGCAGTTACAGTTACACGCGCTGTAGATAACACTACTGGCACACATCACTGCGCGACACTGCGCTGTTAAACGATTAATCGTGCGAAACGCCAGAAAATTGTACAATTTCATAAATTTTGATTATACATATATTTGCTCATATGTATGTGTAAAAGAATTAAAATATTGCCTTTATTGACACTGAATGACAAATATAGTCGAAAAATATTTTTATTTCAATTTGCGACTTTGGAAAAGCTACATATAAAGGCAACGGCTGTGTCTCGATCCGTGGTCCGTCTCTGCTTCTCTCTCTCTCTCTCTCTCTCTCTCTCTCTCTCTCTTTCTCTCTCTCTCGCGCGCGCGCGCGCGCGCATTCCGCTTTCCACCGTTCAATCTCCAATTTTGCGATTAATTGCTTTTTCAGATTAATTATCATTTAATTACTTTATCAGCACAATGACTGCCGGTGGATCGTGTCATAAATAATTAATTAGAGGCAAACTCACCGAAAAACGGTTTAATTAATGACCGAACTTTCCGCAAGCTAGTCCGCTATTGCGAGTCCGCGGCACGTCCGTCGCTTGCAAGCGCCCGATCCCGCAAACTCGCGCTTACCCGCGAAACACACGATATCGCTCGGGGTTAGATTTTTCCTCATTTAAGCCGGAGGAGAGAGCGGGTTGACGGACTGCGGGGATTTCTCCCGACGTCGCTGATAAAAGCCGGAAAATTTGCCGCGGTGTCGTAACATGCGCCAACAAGCGCCTTCGTATACCGCCTCGCTTTTCGGTCATAGCGCGCTGACATGCCCCACTAACATGTTTGATACTTTGTACCGCTAAACGCCCGCAGCGCGGATTCTACATGCATATTAATTAAGATATAACGGACCACCCGGTAAATCGCGAGATTATCTCTCGCATATTCCCAAGCGAAATAGTTGTCTTAAGCTGTGCGAATAAATCACCCGTTGGTTTAACGCTCGTTCTCGTGTTAACGTTAATTCTCTCGATCGACGGATCCCTCGTTTTATTTTTTTTTTTGCATATCGTCCCGTCCCCGCGTTCCGTCCATCCTAACGAAGACTCGCGGTTAATAATCGACCCGGTTTCGAGGGGGAAGCAGGTTTCCCCGAGTTTACGATGAATAATGCGCGACAGTGGATCGCGTAAAGCGGATCTCGGTGTGGTAATAAGTTTCAAAACTCGATCTAAGCAAATGCGCAAATGGATGCTTAAAAGTCGTCGACCGTGATGTTATTTTTCGCGATCTTTTCTGGCGTCTTCTGGCACCGCGCCACCGCCGTTCGCCGTTGTAATCCTCGGAGCGTCGGCGGCGGCGTTTGACGCCGCCATTGCCAGGATTACACGAAAAGTTTGAGCGCTTGTTCGTTTAAGTTATTATAAGATAAGCATCTCCCGTGCAACTCTTGTTTTTTTTCGCCGGGGAGAAGAAGGAAGGAGAAAAGGAAAAGGGCGGGCTTCTGTTTCAGTGAAAAGGTCTTTACCTCGCAAATATAATTCCCTCGGTTCGCAACTGCCCGGAAGATCGTTACTGCTTCGCTTAAATCGTGGTTTTCACTCGAGATACAAGTTTGCCGTCTCACTGTATCGCCGCACGAGTTGAGCAGGATAGTTCATTAATTAGCGTATAGTGGAATAGTTAATTAATTAGCGTGTATCGTGCCTGGTAATCTTCGATATAAACTAAGAAAGAGAAAAGAGCATCCTTTCGTCCAGGCCGGAGATTACAGTAGATTATCGTATCAGAAGTTTACGCGTGCGTCATTCCGACAGGACGAAAGTCGGAGAGATTAGGAGGATTAAAATTCTCGTACAATATTCAACCTGTTTTTTGCGGGGAGCAATCGTTTCTTGATTAATTAATAAAAAAGTAACTGTAATCTGTTGGCGAAGGAAGACCAGTGTCGTCTGTTCGCGTTCTTACAAATTCAGTTAGCTTTTTACTCGTCACCGGGTCGGTTTTTTCTCGCGACGCGCGACGAAAGACGTATCCTGCGACAATGAATGCCAACGATTGGAATTCTAAAGGACGGTTTAATCTTCAGCGTGATATAGAATGCAATAGCGCCGAGGACTATAACAAATATCTCATTTATACTCCCGGTAAAAGCATCTGTAATCGAATTTTAATGACGAATATATCGAACAATCCGCGCTGGATTGTTACTCGACTCGAATATTTTGCAGCATCGAAGAGAACGAAGGAATTTCGTGATCCGATTTCTTTCGCGAATAAAGGAGATGTTAAATTTACTCGTATTTCATCGAATTGAGTTTCACTCTGAAGCGCGATTACATAAAATAACATTTAATGCAAAAGAATAAAAAGTCGACCCGAATTTCTCTCTCTCTCTCTCTCTCTCTCTCTCTCTCTCTCTCTCTCTTTCTCAAAGCAATTGTTAAATGATATTTATCCTATACATAGCTTATGCATACTAAATGCTCGACAGTTGCCCTATATGCTTCCATCAAATTCTCTCATCAAGCTTTCATAAAGTTCATGGAGCTTATAAAGCTTAAAACTTATAAAATATAATAACACGAATTTGTATTTTGCTCTTTCCACTCTTGCATGCAAAATGCACTTCTGGCAAATAACGCTCGCCGAGCGTTATATCAAACATCAGTGATAATTGCGCTAAATACAATTTCCGGGTAGATTTGGAATTTCACCGAAAATAAAGGCAGAAGTACACTCGGGGGAACGGTCGTGCGATATTTTATCCGGTCAATTCGTAGTACTTAAATCGTGCACGAGACACTGACCTTTTTTCTGAACTTCTGTTTTCAGACGTTCGTGGACTGAGCAATGTGTCGATCCACATACCATTGGCAGTGGCAGCTGGCACGACGGTCAACATGTCTTGCACATACGATTTACAATCGGAAACCCTTTATACCGTCAAATGGTACAAGGGCTCGGAATTTTTTCGATATATCCCCAAAGAGATGCCGCCAATCGGAGTGTTCGGAGAGCTCGGGGCGAAAGTCGAGGTAAATAATATATTAATGAAACGCTCCTGTTTCGATGTCAAGTTAGATAGATGTGGATGCCTTTTTAGCGAGCCATTTCATCTAGGAGACAGGTAAAAGCTTTCGCTATCTATCTATTAACGCTCCCGTGATATTTTATTGCTTATCCATATCCTTAAATTTTCATTATTAAATAGCTTCATCGACATATACATGGCTTCGGAGATTTTCAATTACTTTTTTCAGAGGGCAAACAAACTGTACAACCGAGGTTTGATGAAAATATCGCTACGTTGTTCTTTTTTCTTCCTCTTGCGCTGTTGTTTTCAGGTGTCCCGTACATAACGTTTCGACGTTTTTAAACAATTTAAAATACGATCAGAGTTGACAAACGGTGTTTGCCGACACGCGAGACATACACAATTATCCTTTCTTTCCGTGCTCATTCGTGCACAATGGAGTTAAGAAAAAAGGAATGTAGGATCTCATCACCTGTGCGAAATATCTTTAATTGGAATCATTAGAATCGCGCTTCTAGTTTTACTCGTGACTAAAAGTCTCGCGCACACGCAACGACGGATTATTTCGAGCCGCAAACTTCATTATAATTCCGTACTTGTTAAAAGTTCACTCCTACTTTTCAGAGGATCATGTTTTACATGTCCACATGACGGTGAAACGTCGAATTTCGCGAAGACAAAGACGAGACACTAATGTTAAATGTCTTCAAGTTTGGATCGGCCTCGAAAGGCCTCGTTCTCTTTTGTCCATTAAATTGTCTTCTTGTTGCAAATATCTTTGAGCAAAATTTCTCCGCTATTCTGCTTGTCTGTCAATAATTATTCGGCCGCGCTTCCTTCGATACTCGTTGTCGAAATTCTTTCCCACACGAGGAATCAAAAGATGCAAAGAAGCTTTTACCAAGAATAAAAATTAATAGTCGTCACTGGTGATGCAACTTGATTCGCGAGCGCGCGAGTCTTTCAACCGAGAATAACTTGCAACTGCAGAAACCACTCTGATGTCTCGGCATTTTTACCATGAAAAATTCAATCTCAGATCGATAAAATAACTGGCCTGCGAATTTAACGACGCAATTTTCACAGGCGGATGCACATCGCGTAACTTTCGTAATTGTATTCTTATCGTCACACATTTCCAACTTAAAGCGGTGCTTTGACACGCTTTATGTGACAAAACGACAAGCTCTCGGCGAGTCGATACCGGTGGAGAAGGGAATAGCTAGTTCACGTCATAACGCGCACGTAGCGCATGGCAGATTGGATGCTGCATATGTGGGCAAATATTTGCAGCGCGTATCTGGAATGCATGAAGAAGAAATAGCCGTTGCACAACGGAAATTCGAAGGTCTGTAAAAATATACAATCCCGCCAATTAAAACGGACGTAGCGCACATACGTTCGCCCATCGAAATCTCATTTCTTGTCGTGTATCTTCCGTTCGGTCGGATACGCGCGCGCTCGCTTCGCGCCGAGAGACAAATGCCGCCGCACGGTAGAGGCTTGCGCTCGCATAATAAAACGTTACTGACTTATCCGTTAATTGATGCTACAAAAATCACATTTTCATACGTCGGGTATTCGACGGTATTTTTGTACAAACCGACCGAGCGAACAGGGATAATTTCCGCCCGCGAGAGAACACCGCGGTGAACGATGGCGTGTCACTCGTCTTCCTGTAATACGCTTCAATGTTCCGCAGTTCGATATTTGAAATACGTTAGCGCGACAATTTTTATTTCGGGAGGAAATATACAACATTCTCTTTCCGCGCGCCTTTTCTGCTGCGAATGCATTTATTTTGCGTAAAGAAGGAGGAAAAAAGAGAAAGTGTGTGTGTATGTGTGTGTGTAAATTTGTGTCTGCACGATGTCGCTAGCAAATGTATTTCTGCAACTCACGCTTTACAGAGCATAAAATCTGAATTTTTAATGTAAAAGGGTGTTTATTGCGTACACGATATCTCGTTCCGGCGCACGTCGTAGCACTTTGTCGCGAAAATTAATTTGACAAAGTACGCGCGGCAAATATATTGCAGGACCACTTCACAAAAAAGTATGTCGCGCCAATGCGCGGGATTAAATTAATTATTAAATTAATTATTAATTATTAATCTTACTCGAAATCTAATGCAAGCATAGGCAAGACTGTCGTTATTCATTTGACAACAGAGATTATAATCGTCGTCTATTTCACGCTTAATAAATACGCAATGGAGCAGATTCCCAGGCGTTAGAACATATATTCTTGCTGTAATGATTCGCAAACGTGCGAACGTTGAGACAAGACGCGACATGACTGCGGACGATATCTGATATATTTAACAAAAAATGACTGTAAATCGCGAATGTAACCGTAAATAATTTTTCCCGATCACGAGACGGCGGCGACTTGGTTCACTTTTCACTCTTAAGCTTTATTGCAATTACGGTCCGCCGTTACATAGCTAAGATTCTTTTCTTTGTCTAGCGATCTGCTCGGTCGCCAGTCCGTGTTGAACTTTCTTCGTTTTCCCACGTTGAGTTGTCGTTAAAAAACGCGGATTATTGTGTACAAATGAGGACACTCGTGGTTGCGCTCTCACTTCGTGATCCGGCGTGATCCGGCGGATATAAAACATCAAAGAGCGCGAGCGTGCGTGTGATTGCGTTCCCGATGTAAGAATATTAGGTGCCCCGACGGGACGTAACGGTGGTCACGATAAATCGGACGTGATAAATTTTAATATTATTTCGTGAACGGGTCGCGGTTACGTGATCCGGTTACTGAACGTTTCCTTTAGCTCGCTTATTAATGCAAAAGATATTATTTCCGCTAGTCGAGGCCGTTAGCAGAGCGGTTTGCCGCGGTGAAGTTTGGCGAAGTAATCTGCTTTTCATTACTACTCATTTGCGCAAAAAGCCGTACGGAGGACTGTTTTTGTCGTTTTAAACGAAACCCAATAGCCACAGAAATGTTGCGTGAGCTCAAAGCACCGTCAGAATTATTACCTGGTGTGATATCTCTTTTTCTCTTTTTCTCCTTCCCCTCCCTCCCTCCCTCCCTCCCTTCCCTTTCTCCCTCTCTCTCTCTTTTCTACGAAAGAAACTCCTTTTCACGTCTTCGCTTGTTAATGCGAACATTTCAAAGGGCACTATGAGTTTATCACGACGTCGCGTCTTGCGTGCGGTCAGCTACGTGTCATCGCGTCGACTCGAGGAAAAAAGAAAAAGAAGCACAAAGAGAGACGAGTCCGATTTGTTGTGCGATATTTCGCGTTATGCACACACGCGTGCAGTATGCGTACGAGCGACCGAAAGAACCGAAGAAACAGCGATCGCCGCAAAATCGATGTTTCCAAGTTGAGTGAAAAAAAGAAGAGAAGATGTACAGCTGAAACCTTTATTTGATCTGAATTAAAGCGCAACTGACGGCTTTATTCAATCCGCATTAAAATACAATCGCAGCATTTATACGAGTCTTCGAATTACTCCAAATGCGATCTCGAATCACGTTAATCCTTTCTATTCAATTTCGATACATTCAGAGCGGTGAAAAGTGACTTGTGCATATTTTTAACCCGCGTGGAAATGCGATCATGAGTATTTTTAACGTGATCCTTTATTGTGGGACAGAATTTCTCGATTGCTTGGATATTCTACAACTTCATAGTAAATTACATAGTAAATTACACAATATGTGACAACATTGCCGAGACACATCGTGTGTAATCCCGCGTCTACTGATTATCGATTATTCATTATCGCACATCCTGCACTCCCGTAAAAATCATTCGCCAGGATTTCCCCTTTCGCCGCCGCCGGCGCGATATTCAAAAATGCATTCGCGGCCGTCAAGAAGCGACGCAAAGAGCTCAGGTGCAATCGATTAGGCGCGTCCGGGCGCGTCGGGGGAAAAACAACGAGGTGGAAAGAGACGTTCCAATCCGCTACGCCGATAATCCAGCCGTACCGGACACCCCGCGTGCAGCCCGCTTAGCCGTCGCGAGAAAAAGTAATCGTTGCAAAATCAATGTTTTTCGGCGAGCCGAATTGGGAAAAAAGGACGGAAGGAAGGAAGGATGGGAAAGTGAGGAAAAAAGAGAGATAGAGAGAGAGAGAGAGAGGGAGAAACGAAAGGGGGGAGGAAGAGAGAGAGAGCCAGTTAAAGAGCTCTCGCGCGACCGCCGTGATTTCCGCGCGATCCGCTCTGCGCGGATGCGGCCGACGAGAGAGAGGCGCTTTCGTGCACGCGATGGTTTTCCAATTAGATTTTACCGGCGGAAAGTACGGACAGCACTCGGGCCAATAAATCGTAACGCACTCCCAGCGGGGGGAGGCAGAGGCAGAAATATAGCGCGAGAATTGCGGCTACAATCGCGCGGGGACGATATGGGGTTTGGCGAAGCAGAAGAGAAGAACCGATGGGGATGCGGAGAATGCTCGTCGCGATCGCTCCGTATTTCGCGAACGGCAACGACATTAATATCATTCGCCGGGACGGGCTCGATGAATCTACCGACGGATCCGGATATTGTCGAATCGCGCGATATTATGTAACCAAGTGTGCGAAGTAGAATAATACATATATCATTTTCGTTGTGTCGTCTTTTCGCATGAGCGTGCCGGTTGATCTCCGATGCGGATCTGTCCGGCCGCTATTCTAATTTCCAAGATAAACACGATGGACGCGAGCGACGGGTCGATCGCACACCACCGCCAATCACTGCCGATGACACATGAGCGAATGAAAGCGCAGTGACTTAAAGATGTAAAGGGCGAGTTCGTCGCATTTTTGATCTAGAGGGACAACCTATGAGAATGATCTGAATAATAAAACGACGAAGAATCATGATTTCGCACTCGAGCGCCACGGCGAGTTTAACGGGCGAAAGTTCGGGAAGATCCCTTCTATCGCGACGTCCGGGACGAATCGTTTTATCTAGCTGGAGGATCGCCTCGCTTCTTAAAATACTTTTGTTTATGCCATGCGCCGCTCTACATTTCCGCCAAGTTTCATACTTCTCTGAATTTTCGGCTTGTCAAACTTTCCGTATATCCTTTCCTCTCCCAGTTTAGACAAATCCGGAGAGATACGCGGCTACGATCGCGGAGTCTCCCTATCGAAAGCCTAGACGCGGACGTCTCGTCGCTTACACGGTCGCTGTTAATCGTTTTTATTCCCGACGTCCCGAACATCGCGGGAAATAGCACAGAACGAATTACCAGGGAGGGGAATTATCCGCGTCCCGATCGGTCAAAAGCACAAGTGAAATTACGGTAAATAACATCGGCGATATCCTTTTCCTCCGGCGTTAGAGCCGCCGCTGGAAGCTTTAAGGACATCCCCGAGGGAGATTCCCCGCAGTTCGGCTCTCTTTCGGAACGGTACGCTGGTTCGTACGTGATATAGCATACGAGCGTGTCGATGCCACAAGCACGGAGCAAACCGCGGCAAAATTAATTGTGTGATTTATACGCTGCCAGCGGCAACATATAATTAATCCCTGTTGCGAGGTATTGTTTGTCGCGGACGAGCGAACGCGCGAGGACGTCAAAGCGGGCGAGTAAGTGCGATCGATTTGCAATAAATGGCACTTGCCGCCCAGCCGGTATATACGCTCGGTCAATTCTGCGGTCGATGCTAAATTAACTCAAAATTCAGTAGGCGTAGCCGTGCTTTCCACCATTGCCGGTCGTTTTACAGGACGGAATAATATGTAATTCATCCGTTCTGCGAGCGACCGCGCGACCGACTCTCTCTCTCTCTCTCTCTCTCTCTCTCTCTCTCTCTCTCTCTCTCTCTCTCTCTCTCTCTCTTTCTCTCTCTTGGCCGCCACGCACGGCTCGCTCTCCTGAAAAGAGGGGCTATTAATCTTGATCTTTTTAACAGCATAGTTTCACCGCGACGAAATATAATCACAAAGAACGGAGCTGTTCGGAGCCGCGTTATCGGTAAAACGATGAAGTATATCGCGAACAATATCGCGGCAGTGACTTGTGTAATTATGTAATTTATCTTCCGAGAGATCTAGATGATTGTGAATGTGCGCGGGCGGAAAGCGAGCCGCGCCGCGGAGATATCGCGCGATACTGTCTCGCGAAATTGCCGGTATTTATCCTCGACTCGATCATCACGCCGAAGATGACTTTATTTATTTAACGAACTCTCGAATAGACGCTCTCTCTCTCTCTCTCTCTCTCTCTCTCTCTCTCTCTCGCTCGCTCGCAAATAACGAGGCTGCGAGAGCTCGTGGCGCTTCGTCCTTCTTTATTCATGCGAGCGTACTTCCATTAGTGACATCGAGTGCAGAGGAGCGGCAGAATGGAGCCGAAAAGCGCAACGTAGTTGCGAATAAATCGCGGCGAATAAACGATAGCGCTTCGAATGGACGGACTGCAACAAACAGATAACGAATAAAACAGCGAATTACTTGTTGCACTCGATACTACGGTTCGATATGATTTCGCGGCTTGTATTGTTCAACATATGCATGTTTATGATAACATCTTGCGTAATACAAAACCTCAGTAGCACAAACATTATAATTACCGGTGGATTTTGTCGATTAGTGCATACGCGGAGCGGCAGCTGCATCACGGATGCGCATCTCGCTGTTCGCACATACATACATGTATCCCTGTCACCGTGAGTAATACCCGCTAATTACGTTCCAGACAAATCGGAGCGATGCGAATCGAGTGGTCCTAAAGGATGTGCAACCCAATCATACCGGCAAATATCGCTGCGAGGTCTCCGGAGATTCCCCCACATTCAGCACCGTAATGGTTGCCGCTTATATGCACGTAGCTAGTGAGTATCTCGAGAAGCGTATTTTACATCCGAGCAAAGATAACACGACATGCGCACCGCGCGAGAGAACCGAGCGCGGTTCTCGGCCGAGTGGCTCGAACGTGTGGCAGAGCAAACACGGACTTCCCTATGAATTCCGATGCTCCGGGTAAATACGCGACCGAAAAGGCAGGACGGGAAAGTGACGTTCGCGGGAAGAATGGAACGTAATCTCGCGTGGGGGAATTATCGCGCTTGGAATAATCGATCGTGCAACTAGTCGGGGAATTAGAGAAGGAGAGAAAGAGAAAGAGCAAAGTTTCAACGAAGCGATATTTGGCAGCATCCGGCAGCACACTTGAAAGTAGCGGCACGACCGTCTCGGCCGCGATGGCGCGAAATTCGTCGGGGAAAAAATGCCGTAAGAGAGGTACACGCGATGCTCTCACAGCCGTGTTGAGCGCGGCTGAGCTTCGTTGCGAAATTGCGGCTAAAAGTCGGACATAGAGAATGGCTTTTTAATTTCTTCACTTGATGTTTTTGCAATCTCCGCGCGAGTTAACGAGTGCGACTCGTGATATCGAATTTTCATCTTGCGCCGCGTAACGTGAGCGAATTACACTCGAGCACACTTCTCACACTCGCATATACTTGGCGTAAATTTTTCCCGTTTTCTTCCTCTCGTTCTCCCGATATGTTCGTGCAAGCGAAAAAGAGCCTCTCTTTTCCCAAGTAACGAGGAATTTCCGAGGCACATGAAATAAGCAAAACAGTCGACGTTTTTCCCTCTCTCACGAGCCCAATTAGCCAAGCCGAAATTTTGCATCTGCATTAATTCTGCATATTCTGTTGAACTCGAAAGGCCAATGGAGAGAATCTCGAGATGTAACGTTATACAAATTGCCGTGTGATGCTACAAATGATTATTCGTTGTTGCTCTTTCCGTGTTGAGAATTAATGAAGGGATTATGCAACAATTATTTAATATTTGAATATTTTCACATTTAACCGTCATTAATTAGCCATTATCAATATATTAAACAGTATATTAATAATGTAACATTTTTCCACCGCAAATAGAACATGCGTGTGTGTGTGTGTGTGTGTGTGTGTGTGTATGCATGCTCACGCGCGCGCACGATATGCAAATATTAAATAATTAATATGGATATATAATTTTATATGATATTAAATATAACGAGATTATATATAATTAACATAATAAACTCATGTTGAATATAATGAACTCTTTGTTCATAATCAATCCATTATTTCTTCTATATTGGTGATGGCTTCTATAATTGATAATGGCAATGGCTATAGAACATGGATGTTTAAGAAAGCTGAAAATTAAGGAGGTGTTGGATAAAAATAGTAGTTGCGTTGAATCATGCTGCGTGCTAATAGAGATTTTAATTCGGTTTCGGTATAATGATAAGACTAATCAAAAGCGAGGAAAGATACCGACGGACACAATATAAAATGTCTTACGACCAAAGCAGCGTTATTAGACGCAAAAAACAATATTTGCAAGATTTATACTGGATATTATAAAACTGGTATTTATTGGTCTATATTATTGTATTCGGCCTGTCTGTGCACGAAACTGGCTGTCCGGCTTGATTGTACGTCATGAAACTTATAATCTGGTCACGATAATCTGGATCGATAATTGTTACATTGACTTTCTTATTATGTATCTTATAAATTGCGGAATTTGCGAGATTTACGGAGCCGATAATGATCGGTAAGGTATCGAACGTCGCCATAAATTTGCCGGACTCACAGGACTCGAGTGACACCCGTGGAGAAGAACGGCTTCCTATTTTATCAAGTCGCGGAACCTATAAAATATACACAGCCGCCTGCCAGCGGCTCTCAGCCGGCTGCGATGCAGGAAATTACACGTTAACGTTACAGGTAACTCCCCTGTACCGGAGCGGCTGCTTATCCCGCGAGCGCGAGCGCGACGACAAAAAGCCCCGGCGTCATTAGCCTTGATAACAGCGCGCAATAAACCTGTCCGCAGGACAGAACTCCGTCGATCGGCCCGATGCTTATTGAATCCCGCGCCCATCCGCCGTACGATACAAGCCGCGGTCGAGAAAAAGCGTGAAAGCCGCCGCTAATTTTGCCATTTAGTGCCATCAAAGCGTTAAATGGATAACATTAATTTATGAGCGCCATTCCCCCCCATCGGCTGTCGTTGTTTAGGCTGGGCGCGCACGATCGTCTCGTATAATTCTCGTTCGTAACGCGGATAATTACTGCGACCAATCCTGCCGGCGAGACCGATGCTTTTTACCGACGTCCTTCGTGTACAGCGACACCCATTCCGCGCCAGCTGGGAGACGCATTGTTAAAATTCAATAAAAACATTTCACGTCGCGTCCCGTACGAGTGCGGCCGCGCTCGCGGCCGCCGTCACCGGGGCAGCGGCGAGGTGGACACGCGAGGATCCGTGATGAATCGCGGATTCGGTCGTGACCCGTTGACTTTTTTACCGGCTCCTTCACGACTGTTCCTCGTGCGTTGTCGGGTGCGCTCCTTCTCTCTCGCTCCTCTCCGGCACGTCTCTCGCGCGAGAGCGCCTTTCATTATCGTCGTTGATTATCCTACACGGCGACTAGTATTGTCACCGTAATCGCGCCCAATTAAAACGCAGTTAAGCGAAGGGAGAGACAGAGAACGAGAGAGAGAGAGAGAGAGAGAGGGAGGGAGGGAGAGAGAGAGAGAAAGAGAGAGAGAGAGGAGAGGAGGAGGAGAAAGAAGGAGAGAGAAAGAGAAAAGGAAGGGAGACCGAGGTGAGAGCGAAAGGGAGACGCGATCCAACGCTCGTGGAAAGGAAGAAGATGCGCAGGAGCGTCGAGTCTCGTTCCCACCGTTCCTTACCGTCGCCACCGCCGCCGTCGCTGCCGCCGCCGCCGCTGCCGCCGCCGTCGCCATCGTCGTCGTCGTCGTCGTCGTCGTCGTCGTCGTCGTGCGTCGACCTAACGACGCCACAAGCACGGTAGCGATCCCTCCTTTGAAGGGACGAGGTGATTGCCTTCTCTTTCCGATCACGGATCGCTCGTAAAAGCTCGATACTGGATCGGGGGGGGGGCTCGAATCTCGCCTTGTATCCCCCTCCGAGAGCGCTCTCTTTCTCTGCCGCCGTGCCCTGTCTCGCTCGCTCCTTCCTCCTAGTTCTCACGAGGCCGACCGATCATGCCGTTCCATACGACATACGTTGAAAATGGTAATATCCCTCTCGGCCGTGTCCTTGAGACTCACTCGCGGCGAGAGATCGCGCGAGGAAGGAGCGGCCCGAGACGGAAGTCGAGTCCGGGGAGGAAAGTGAGAGACAATTCCTTGACAGCTCCGCGCCGGACCGCCGGATCGAGAGAGGCAAAAGGAATCGACTGCCTTCTGTGGACGTTATAATGATCCCTCGAGATGTACTTTATACGTTATGTATATATATATATATATATATGTGTGTTACGCGAGAGTGTACGCGCTCGCGAGGCTCGAACTTCGCTTAATGACGATGATGTTCGCGGAAACGTCAGAGAGCCGAAGCTGTGTTCCGCGCAGCTCCCAGCTGACTTATCGCGTGCGAACGCGGGAACGAGCGGCGGCTGTATCGACATGACCCGATAAGGCCAATTTTGAATAAATCTATATGCAAGGCGAGCACGCTTTATATTTATGAAGGCACGTATGTGCACGTACGTGTGCGTGTGCGTGTGCGCGCAAGCGAAGCGCGAGCGCGAACGCACTCAGGCCCTCGGGCTCTGTACGGAAACGTTACTTCTAATTTACGGCGGACGCATCGCTCTTTCAATTCAATTTCCCGAGATGCGGAACGCGCCGGCGCGATATCCGCGTGTAAGCGGAAACCCTCGCGCCATTGTTCGCGTATAAAAGTTATGTTTTTGTCGTATCGTGCGTTCTCTCCTGCGTGTCGTAATTCGTCGCGCGCGCGTTTCTGTACAGCAATTAAGCGCGCGAGCGCAACACTTTGGACATGTTTAAAATTATTAGGGAAAATGTATATTCCCTTTGGTCAACATATAGACAAGCGTTAATTATTTCGTGGAAGAAGAGGAAGCAGGAATGCCGACGTGCTTACGCATGATCCACCGATTAAAAATTTGCGAACTCGGCGAATGAATCAGTGTGTGCGTGTGTGCGTCGGTCGTACGTCGTCTGTAAGATCGTACAAACTATGTTGAACGTAACGCATTGTACGGCTAAGACGTTCGCTACGCTACGCTAAAGTCGAGGTCGCTAAATGGCGCAAGAAGCGTCATTCGCGATTTCCGCGTGAAGCGCTTTTCGATACAGCTTCGCGAACAATGATCCCGGTGGTAGACGATCTCTCGATGCTTTTCTGTCGGACATGTTTTTACGATGATCGGCCGCAGCCGAAAGAACCGGGGACGTAACAATGAGTCCGTGTCTGTCCGTTAGTCGCGGCAAAAACGTACGTTCTACCCGATTGTTATCATAAGACACTTTGAATTTCCAGGTCTGCCGAACGGCGATCCTCAGCTGCGGATGGAGAAGAAGCGCTACGCGGTCGGCGATACTGTACGTGGAAACTGCACGGTACCGTCGGGAAATCCTCCGGCTAACGTGACGTGGACTGTCAATGGGACACCGGTAGGTTGATGAATGTGAAAAGCGTCCGGGGAATCCCCATCGAACGTTCCCGCTGATTCATAACGAGCCGCATAAATATTAATTCCACTCGTGTCTTGTTCCCGGGATATACATATATGTACTGGTCGCCGCGAAATTTTTGCAAGTCTCATCCGTCAAGCCACGCTCGAATTTCTCTGTCCTCCGTGCTACGGTCCCGCTAAACGGATATATCAGATCACTCGTCCGGTCCCATGAGCTAATTCAATTCGGAATGTAAAATCCGAATTTTTGATAAACACGCGCATTTTTGACAAACGTTTCTTCTTTTGTCCGCGGGAATCTCGCTTCTGTCGAATGCGAAAATAACGAATGTCATTTTAGAGTCGCGACTATAGTTAGTAATTATTTATACGAAAAAGAGATGATTGTGTACCATGCACAGTGCACGCGTGCGAGAAGATTCAATTTCGAATTTGCTGAAAACGCAAAATAAAATATGTAATGACATCTTTAATAACATTAATAATAATATACAAACTCACGTCACTTCGAGAGGCAAAGAGAGAGAGAGAGAGAGAGAGAGAGAGAGAGAGAGAGAAACCTCGAGACGAGAAAACGCCGCTTTACGTTTATTAGCTCCATCATATAAGCCATTCAGCTGAACATGGCGGTTGACAATGGCGATTTTCAAGTATGCTATTATTTTGTCCACTTGATACAACATTTCGCGTCATGGTGTGTCTTTTGTTTCTTTCTGCGCTTGTCATCGTCACTGATGACAACGCACCGTCGCGGTCGTCGGTTCATAAAGTTCTTCACGTCCAACTCCAACTTACTTATTCCGTTCGGCCCGGCAATGCGTTTACAAACGCCGCTCTAACGTGGAACATTCTTAATAGCCGTCACGCGCGAATTTTTCAGCACCTCGCGCATCGCGAGTTGCTTTGTCGCTGCCCGTTGAACTTCGCGACGTTTCTTCAGGTGGTTCGGCTTTTCCATTAAAGCCCCAACGGCTTCATATCGTGTTATCTCGTCGGAGCGCAATATCGCGCGATATTACATCAGAAAGGAGAAATGAAATTTTTCGAAAATTCTTCCACTATTGTACTGCGACGACGACATACGTACAATTGTCATAAAAGCTCAGTCTCGCCTCCGTCCGCCTGAGCCTAAATTATTTTTGCAATTAAAATATTTCACCGGCGTTTCACGCTGCGCGCCTTACGCGACAAAATCCCGCATCTTCTCTCTTCGTCGCAGGCAAGACTCACGAGTTCGAGTGCTCGATCCATTAACTTTATTAATTATCACAAAGTAAGCTGACCGACGCGACGCTCTCTCGCGTCCATATGAGGCGCGCGCAACTTAATGAGACGAACGCAAAGAGACGATACGATTTCGCGATTCTACCGTGCGCCTTAATTCGATCATTCGCGTCGCCGGCAGCCAAAGAGCTTCCGCTTGAAGTTAACGCAGACGACGGCTTCTCAACGCGAGGATTCGCGCGATCGCTACGAGTGCGAAAGTCGATACATGCAATGTATAAATTATAACGCCATTAAAATGTAATTACAACTTTTCCAAACGCGGAACGCACGCGTGTGCGTGCATGCGTGCGTGCGTGCGTGCGCGCGAAAGAGAGAGCTTAACACTTCTGCCGTTTTTCAGCTTCGCGTGCATATAAATGTTTAATCGCTCTCGGTGAGCAACGAGAGTATTCTGCCGGCCCATTAAACGAAATTGCTTATACGTGATCGACCGCATTAAGCGCAAGACGAAACGTCGCGCTCGATCGTCCGTCAAGGAGACCTGTCAATCCGGAGGCTCGACGGAATGGCGAGCGCGTGTTCTTGTGCGTGAGCAAGCGCTAGTCGGAGTGGCGCACGAGATCCGTGGAAATTGAGTCGCTTGTCTTGTATCACAGAAGCGACAGGAAACGCAACATCGGTCAATTCCCGACTATCCAGATGACGAGCACGACAACAAAGAGGAGGACGACGATGCGACGACGATGCGACGAAGAGCGGGGGAGGCTTTGGGAAAATGGACGAAATCGCACAGCGCAAATGCTGTTCCCGGCTCGGTTCCCGACGTTCCCGTTACGCGCGGATACACACACGTGTGCACACAAGGCACCGGGGCTATTCAGGAAATTATAAAGATCCTCTCCTCTCCTTCTGGTTCGCGCGTCGACGGCGCGGCCCCGGCCGGCGCGCGGACGGACTTCGTTTAATCCGGAACTCTCGCTCGGAGCGGCGAGCCGGTAATCTGACGTGCTTTTATGGGCGCCCTAAGAATCCGATAAACATCATACTTATAGCCGAATGCACCGCGAATCACTCACGGCTCCCGCAGGAGGCGTTACCGCCGCGAACGAGCGGCAGGAAGTAGTAAGGATACCCGGTTACCTCTACTCCTCGCCCGTCGTGCTCTACCCTGCCCTTCCGCGTGAATTCTTGACAGGGTCGAGGTACTCCGTCGATCTGTCTCTCTGCCCTACGGTTCCTTCCGGTTAATTAATTCTTTACGCGACTACTCGTCCTAACGAACTATCGGTAAAACTGCGGCGTTTCGGCGTTTCGGCGATTGAAGCTGGATCGCGCGACCATCAGGCGATTAGGTTCTGTAATGAGAAAGCTGGAGGACTTCCGCAGGCGCGGACGGCGGTCCTTTTAGCTATAAATTATTAATTCACTCGCGCAAAAAGCAAAGCGGCCGGAGAGATTGAAAGAGAGGGTGTGTGTGTGTGTGTGTGTGTGTGTGTGTGTGAGTGAGAGAGAGAGAGAGAGAGAGAGAGATGATTGCGCGACGGCTACGTCGTAAAGCGAAGTGGGCCTCGACGTGTATCTCGCTTGGAAGTTAATTGATTTCAGAGACTCGTAAATCATCGCGTTCGTTCCAACGCGTCCACGTCCGCGGCGATTGAAGGGTGCGGCTGACTGCGCGAATCACCGCCCGTATTTCATTGATCATTGACGAGCGAATGGCGATCGACAGTTACGCGTGGTCTTTTGTGCATGTGATATCTTTTGTGTGACTTCGCGAGCGAAACGTTTTGTCTGCGACCCGAAGACTAGAGAATGTTGTTTTGCACATTTGCGTTTGTGCCGCGTATTCTTCAGCAGCAGTTGAAAGACAAAGCTGAGGAACCGAAGTTCAAGATGGACAGATGGATCGATCCTCTCAGCACTGACAATGTCAGTCTGTAGTACAATACGTGTTCTCGTTACAGGTGAACTCGAGCTTTATCATGAACATCACGGACAAAGTCGGCGACAATCAGCAGCAGATGACGGTTGCGGGATTGGACTTCGAGACTATGCAAGATAACTTCAACAACGGCAGGTTGCACATCGTCTGTCACGCCAACGTCTTTCATCTGTATCAGAAAAAGGCCGATATACTCTTGATCGAGGAGCGTCCGAAGCTGGCCTCTGTATTAGGAACACGAGAATCCTCCTACATTGGTAGGTAGCGTTGCCATGTTCTTTCTGTTTCATCAAGATAATACTTTCTTTTCCTCGAGAATTTCCTCGCAGGCTCGATCAGGAACCATTTATATGCGTACACGGGAGAAAAGTATCACCATGATTGTTTCACAAATAAGAGAAGCTAAAAACCATATCGAGACAGATTGCACGGACAGATATAATAATAAACTTTTCTTATATAAATCACGCGTGAGCAGGTACATTGATCTTTCAAGTTGCTAATACACAATTATGTATCCTTTTGTTGCAGGCAACGCAGCGAAGAGCACCGCCGAGTGCTTCTACATCGCCGCTATAACTACACTGCTGCTATGCAACCTGAGATAACATCGATGAGTTCGCAATACATTTTACGCGCACGATTGTATCGAGACGGAACGGGAGTGAATCGTTTGTAAAATTTTGAGATTATTACACGGGACAAAGGAAAGAGAGAGAGTGAGAGAGTGAGAGAGAGGGGGAGGAGGGGGGAGAGAGAGAGAGAGAGAGAGGAGAGAAGAAAGAAGAAAACAGTTGAGCAAAGAGAGGGAAATCTTTCGTTGAAATAAATACCGAGCGTATGTTATTCGTGTAAATAGGATAAAAGAAAAGAAACACACACATACAAACACACACACATACACACACACATATACAGAATTTAGCGACTTATCTATGTGTACGCGAACTACGTCCGCCGACGCGGACTAACTTGTAATCCGAATAACGATGTCGTATTATTATGTAATAGACCGACAAAATGTCGCGCCAAACTGCCAAGACGACTTATTTCACGACAGATCATTGTATCGTCTTTTCTATCCTTCGACGATGATTTTTTGATACCTCCTCTATGGCATTTGTAGTCGACGCGAACTGTATCCTGTCATGATTATAGATGAACACTGTTATCGTTTATAAATGACGTTTTATTTCGATGATGATACGAATAAAACGATTCGCCTTCGTTAATTCGTTAATTCGATCTTCAGTACACTGAAACCCCGTGTCTCCCCTTAGCGTTTCCCTGAATCATTTTCATCAGAGAACATTAGATGATTTAGCGCAAATTAACGGATAGTTTGTTAGCGAGTAACTTTACTGTCTCGATCTTACGTAAGAGCGATCGTTAGTTGTAAGGCGAACGTTTAGTGAGGAGCACGTTCTTAATTTATTAACGAATGCATGAACATGTATTTCTGTACAAAGTGAAGACGCCATTGTATTGATTTATTAAATAGACAAAGTTGAATAAATGAAATATGACAGGGTGATATCACAAAATGTGTACGCCTTGACTGAATTAAATAAAACCATCTTATTACTATTACATTGAATCAATTATGTCCATATATATTTCAGAGCTGTCTAGTTTAATGAGGATTTTGCAGGTGATGTGCGAACGCGCGGCAACACGAAATATATGTATACTCGTCACGGAAGATAGTTAAATTAAAATTATCCATTCAGAATCTAACACTTCACGCACGCTCTGCATTTTCCTTCTGCATTTGACTATGGACTTTCATTTCTATCACATCTACCGTCGCTTCCCTCATCTTACTCTTCTCAACGCCAAGTTGCTGGATCTTTTCCATTTGCTCCGTGACATATTCCACTCTCCTTTTGAAATAGTCCTTTGCATCTTCGATACCTTTCTCTGCGTAGTAACCAGTACCAATGTCCACAAGTACATTATTTGCATCTGCCAGTTTCCCAGTTACGTACATAGAACTTGTCAAAGGTACTAATATTTCGTTACCTACAAACACATAAAAATAATACAACAGAACTGTCACAAATATATCCAAGAAAATTATTCTATTTCCTTAATACAAAATTACACAGTTATACAATCATAATTAAAAGAGTAGTTAAAAGAATGACGCCTAAAACTGAAAAAGGTTAAAAAATTCTTTAATTAACTAATCATGATATGGATCTTTACTTTATCCAAATATTACGTTTCCTAACCTCAAAAATGATATACATCGTAAAGCAAATTTATATGAACTACAAATAGTGCAATTTGGACGACTCACCTTCGACGCCAGGTATAATTTTCTCGAGACAAGCACCTGATTCCTGGAATCTGCTCTGTGCAATCTTTAAAGTGTGCAATGAGTCCTGAAATAATCCAAGCTCCTGGTCCAATTGTTGCTTCAGCATCGTCAGCTGCTGGAGATTTAAACTCGTCAGATCGACCTTCTGCAGCTGAGGCCCCGGCTTCATGGAGATTTGCGACATCTTAATACGATGTCAGATGTGAATTATTATTCTTGAAAAGATTACACGTCTCGACGGACACAACTGATTCAACGAGATAACGGATATCACCAAACACGGTAACAGCAAGCGCCAACACCGTGCCTCTCAGCTCACAACTTGCATATCGTGCAGTTTACTGCAATGTATGCCTGGTGGCAGCACAATACATAAAGACGCGTCTGTCATCTTACGAGAGAACAGATAAATTCCAGCTTGGAACAATTGAGCCGGTATTCATAGGCTGCGTTCCGAAATTCACTGCCAGTACTGAAAATACATGGTTTATGTCACGTATACTATAGAATTTCAGTTCTGGCAGTGAATATCGGAACGCAGCCATATGATCTGTTTTTTTAGCTGCATTGCGGAATTAGTGCAATAAGTTAGAATGAGACAATTATATTTTTTCTTTAACCAGACTTTAACCAGACAGAAACTTGAAAGCGGCCAATACGGCATTTTCTGCGACACCGACTTTCCGCACTGGGAAAGGGCGCCATCTGCATCTTGAGCCATTTTGAGAGGGGAACTACGATGCTACATTCACTTTCAGGTCTCGGTGGTAAAATCTTCATGTGGTGGAAGTCCGTATTACATCCACTTTCAGGCGGTTTATATCCGTGCTGCAATCACAGGTGCCATCTCTATGCCAGACTATGCCCGGAAGCCTAAAACGAGCTGAAGGGGGGGGAGCAGGAAAAATAAAAATACGTATTAAATATTAAATCTTCGAATACATTAACATATTAAGTTCAAATTAAACATCGTGCGATACTAATAATGATTATAATATTAAACATTATTTATATTACAACGAACATACGCATACACTAGTATTACATAGTTATAAAAAATGTTATGAAAAAATACGCACTACCCAATAAAGTATTTTAATATATTAACATAATACTATGTTTAAATTAAATATACACGTGTCCGGTAATAAGCTGCCAAGCCGAAATGTGAAGGTAGATCGGTTTAAAACAAACGCAAAAGTCCCATACCATTTTCCAAGATTCGCAATAATTATCGAGTTATTAATTACAGAAATCTGACGAATGAACGCGCGCTGAGATGGATGATTGGAGAAGCGTCGCAGTCTTTCGGGTTACAACCGAGACCCAGCATCGGACATCCAATGGATGTACGTTTCACGTCCGTATGTCCGATTTACGTCCATGGACATAAATGGGACGTAACAAGGATGTCCTTATTGGACATCGGACCTGTAGGATGTCCGATGTACGTCTATCGGACGTCCTATGTCCGAAATTGTGACAAACGTACGTCTTATGGACGTCTTTTGTAAAAAAAATGGACATATAACGGACGTCCAATGGACATCCGTGTGCTGTCTGGGAACGCGTCCCAGTCGAAAAGGTTAACCACTTAACGTGATAATATATTAATAAGGACGAGAGAAATTCGCATGGGATGAAATTCCACTCTTTAACGCTACCATAACCTTTAATTATTCTCCGCAAAATGGCGTCACAACAACTTTGACACTCTGTACAATTAGTTGCTAACACATTTTCTAATCGTACACATTCCTCTTTAATTAACATGAAGGTAACAAATGTCCGATGCTTCGACAGAGTAATTTTCTTTATTTGCAGTAATCAATGAATAGAATAAATCAATGTTGCGTACAGTTGAAAGGCCTCCTCGCCCCCCCCCGAAAAGTTCCCTTCGTCGTTGCGGAACCTTCGAGAAAACAAGAGACGCTCAAGGGCAAGTCTCTCTTGCTTCAACCGCCACTGAAGCCCGCAATGTTTACATCGCGCCGATTGTGTTGATCGGCTCGCTAGTGATGACACTTTTTGCCCTTCGTATTAATACTCGCGCGTCTCGCGTACTCGACCTCATTCCATCAACAGCAGCCGTGCGCGACGCGCTCGTCACTTCCGTCTCGTATAATTGAAAGAAATGTATCTTGTCGGTTCTTAAGATATTCAATCGGCATCGCGTCGGCATCGCGTTGATTAACCGCATAGTCGAATCGCGGGTATCGGCATTAGAAGCGTGAGCGAGTGAAATCCGGAGGACTCCGGCAGCCGGGAAGCAGGACGCCGGCAGCGATACGTTACGTTTCCAGGTATGTGAAATCACTTATTATGAGGGAGGTCTCCGTCATCATTCGACTAGTAATCATGACTTTATGAACCTGCAATTACTGTCGTCAATCTCTGTCTGCCTATTTATTACGTTGTATACAAGAAATATCGATCCAGACAGAGATGGATAACGGTCCATGAACACAGATCTCTAATTCATCTTGTTCTCAATCAAACATTCTGAATAATTCCAAACTGTGTGAGTATACCGGTCTCGTGTAGAACATTCAACGTCTCATATCGCTTCTTAGACTGAAACTTTTTTGTTTTCGGTCAGCGCTTCTTTCAAGTCTGTTTACTCTCGTTATGAGATCCAAATTTAAATGTCCATTCGTAAAAGAGTATTTTCGAGAGCATACAACTGTTGTCTCCGCTTCTTGTTGTCATTTTTTTTCGTCAGCTCTTGCAAGAGCTCCTATCAAGACATTCAATGTCAATGAAGAAAAAAAATCGTAGCGAATATTCTCCACTCATCCCAACCAAACATTCTTTCTCTACCGCAGCTTACCAACCTAGAACGCTAAATTTTTGTTCCAGATGTTGCGGGAAGCAAATCCGGCGGACGCGGATACCGTACCGGAGGATCCGGTTCGGGCACAGCAGGATTGGCCGGAAGGTAAAGTTTACAAGTTTCCTACAGATCTGTGTTCAACTCTTTACCATCTTTGCCTTTGTAACTTGTTCCTTATCAGCTCTCTTGAAAGCTTCAAGTCCCATTTGAATTTTCAATGTTGGAACAAAAATATTAAGATAAAAATTCCGTATCAAAATATATCCGTATTTTCGATTCGTCCCGATCAAAGATGTTCTCTCTCTACCGCAAGTTATCAACCGAGAAAATTATTTTTCTGTTTCAGTTGTTGCGGAAAGCAACAATAATCCGGTGGATGCGGATGCCGCACCGGAGGATTCGGTTCGAGCCAAGCAGAGTCGGCTTGAAGGTAAGTTTACAAGTTTACTATAGTCCTCTGTTTGACACTTGGCGATCTAGAGCTGGGATATAATTTCCGGCCCGACTTGAATTACGATCGTAGAGGGTAAATTACTTTTTTACTCGCCCGCACTCGTTGGTCAAATCTGATGAGCGAATGTGAATTTTTGTTACAGAATGGAAGCGGAACGTGGCCGGCTTTGACTGCAAGTCGTTTCGGTGAGTCAAAATGAAAAGAGAAACAAAATTCTGCATGACGGATGTGGGACTAAAAAATATCGTTCGAGTCAATGCGAATTGCAAATAAATACTTGCATGTGTGTATTTGTGACGTTGAATAAAATACATTGCTCGAAACAATCAGGGGATTACTTGATCGATAGCCTGCATTACATACAAGATTTAAAATACTGAATGATTCTCTTTTGATGTTCAATCATCTGAATAAGAGAATATTCATATGTACAAACGCGACACCGACATCAGCTGCTTTATTTTTATTTTTCAAGCGGGCCGCAGAATTACTTAACGATTTAATTATTTGACAATATTCAATTGTCCGTATAAAATATATTCATACCTAAATGCCGATATCGTTAGCTACTTTTCTTTTATTTGCAAAACAGGCTGTAGAATTATTTGGCAATATTGTCCATTCATCACAATCCCTATTGTCTCGAGTAGCGTATAATGCGCGCAGAAATTGCGCCAGCGCACGCCGAGCTTGAGGTATCCTCGCTCGCGTGCCTTTAAATATCGCGACCGCGGTTGTCAATATACGCGTTTTTACTCGCGTTACTAACAAAGAAAACTTAAATTCTCATTTCGCCAAAGTATCGCGAACGTAAGCTTCGTCGTGACAGAGCTATAATGCGTGAAAACTTTGCCCCGCTCCTCTCTCTTTGCGCTCCCTAAGGGGACCGGTTTCTGATTGTCTAATCTTTCCTCGCGTGCATTCGCATCGCGAATATTTCACTCGTAGATATCGATAATCCCACATTTTCGCGACTTTTCAGACGCAATCGCGAAAAGCACCGTAAAAATCCGTTGGACGAGTCAATAAATTTTCACACGGTTCTTACTCCTCGCCGATCGAGTTTATAGAGTCCGTTTCGCAGCGCGTAAAAAGTTTCCACCGATAGCGAGTAAAACGTTCGTTAATTGAGGTAAATATCGCCGTTCTAATACCGCGTATTGACCGCGTCGTGGAAGTGTGATGAAAGTGTAGCGATCACCGTGGGACGAGCTGCAAGATGGATGTTGCGCGACATGGAGAGCGGCAGCGGACATGGCCGGACATTGATGGATCTGGTTGGATGCAACAGGACATCATCAATATCATTATTGGTGAGTGTCTGACTCAAAGCTCGCAGAAAGAACTTTTAATATTACTTTATTATTACTTTTATTATTACATTGTGCATGCCGCAAATTTGTATTGACTCTAGTAACGAAAAATATATTCCATGAATTATTCTCCTATATTATTGCCTTATATTATTGCCATATATTGTTGCCATATATTGTTGCCATATATTGTTGCCATATATTGTTGCCGTATATTATTATATTATTACCATATATTATTCCCATATATTGCCATGCATTCTCGCCATATATTATGGCCGCCACTTGAAATTGCGCGAGCAATCAAGAAAACTGAATTTATCGGTAATCGCAAAGGCGCGGCAGAAGTCACAAATGGATATTAGCAGCCGGTCTCAAGGTTGACCGATAACAATACTGTTGCTGCAATTTAACTTTAAACAACAGCGGCCTCAGATCGCAAGAAACTATTTATCGCAGACTAACCTTTCGAACGGAATGTTCCCGAGAAGCGCTCTTGAGATAAATGGAAGATATAAGCGAACCTCATCGATAGCATATTTAACCTTCGATATCTCCTAAAGGTCTAAAGATACAGGAACGCTCTTGTGCAATATAGTTCTATATCAACCCTACTGTGACCATACAGCTCGACTTTCAATTCACAGGAGAAACGGAGATATTAACATCACAAGTTAAACATTTTAACTTACTATATCTCCTAAAGATACAGGTTCAAGATACAGGAACGCGCTCTTGC